TAACTCGGATCGGCCTGTGACTCACCCTTCGGATAATACCGAAATTAAATATAAAAATTATATTTTTATTATTTAATAAAATTCAAAAATTCATATCTTCTTCATACGAACTTCGTTTTCGATGTTCTTTATATCCACGCGTAGGTGAGACTATACTCTACAACTTTCGTTTAGATTCCGTCGGCAAATTTTGAAATTATTTTTATTATTTATTTTTAAAAGGTCGCGGTAAGAAATTTTCGTTTAGAAATTCATAACTTCATTATCTGACGTCTGTTTTTGCCAGACTATTTATCGTTGAAAAACCATTGTCGAGACCTTCGATTCTCATTTAGGTCATTCCGGCCAAAAGTCGTTCGATCTCCGTTTCGAGTTTTTAGGTGTCCGTTGCTAAGCCGAACTTGGAAAATTCATAACTTCCTTATACGAAGTCAGATTTGGGCGTTCTTTTTACGTACGATCACAGTTTAATGACATCTAACATAGTAGGTAATTTAATTAGAGATTTTTGGACATTCTATTTTCGAAGTTAATTTCATTATAACAAAAGTGGTTACAATATTTGACTTTTTAGGTCGTTACATAGAGTTGAAATATCGGGTTGTCACACCTTTAAAGCCATGCAAAGGCTTAAAGGTTTCGACTTTATGGCTTGATAGACAGTGGAGTGCCTGGATCTGAGATATGAGAAAATGACTTAATCTATTCAGACCAAAAAGCATGGAAGTATGAAACCGGGACTTACGCTGGGCATAATCCCAGTACGCTCCGTGTAGGGGGTCGAGTACCCCGATTCTGGATGTCCACGGAGTATGCCCCGCGTATAGATCTAGCACGCGCAGCGTACCTCCATTCAGTTGACTTTTGTTGACTTTTGAGGTTTGGTCAACATGTGGACTTTTGGACCATTAGAGGGGTAAAATGGTCTTTTATCCTTCTCAGAGAACTTAGGAAGGGACTGGTCTAGCCTTAAGAGTCGTTATTAATTTTCGATAATTAATTTATGTGATTAGGCAGGGGCTAGGTCATCGTTTCGAGTTTGGGGATATCCAGCATGTGAGTTACTAGATATCATACGAGGTGAGTCTTCTAATTATACCTTACCTAGAGTGGTAATTATGTGTGACCGGAAGGTCTTACGTGCTATGACAAGTATGTGATATATGTTTCTATGTTTCTATGTATGTGTTATGTATGTTATGAGTGATATGAGATGGACCGGAAGGTTAGCAGTGTATGGACCGGAAGGTGAATATGGGATGGACCGGAAGGTCCCTGAGATACATAGACCAGAAGGTCTTGTAGAGCTATAGCCTCGAGTGGCTATTTGTATGTACGTGGTATTCTGGGAAACTCACTAAGCATGCGTACTTACCGTTTATGTGTTATGTGTTTCAGGTACTTCAGAGGATCGTGGGAAGGCACCGACATGATTGTACTCTCTCACACACACCCTATGTTTGAGAAGAGGTGTTATGGATCCTGGCTTTTAACAGCACGTGGTTGTGTCGGGTCCGTATCAACCCTTGGGTCTATATCCACCCAAAATACAACATATAGTTGTGTCGGGTCTGAATCAACCCCCAGGTCCGTATCAACCCCAAGTCCATAATGACTCCGAGCCCATATAGCTAAATGCATATATGATACAAGCACAATAAACAGAATCATACGATAACATACAATTCTACTCATACAACACAATCGGTCAGCCTTGGTGCCTTCGGCCCACTTAAGGTGGTAAGGAGACTCACCTCATAGACAAATGAAAAGTTGAATGCGTTGCTCCGAAACCCACGCTATTGGTCACCTCCATAAGCTGCACAAGGGGGATAAGATGTTGGATCTAAAGTCTTGAAAGAAACACCACCACCTCAATGCTTTTCCTTCTACTCCAAAAGCTCCAAATGGCACCAAAAATGGCTCAACAAGCTTCAAAATGCACAAACACTCTTTGGGGTTTCGAAATAGGGAATGGGGCTAAAGATAAGAAGGTGCATGAGGCAATAAATGTGTTTAAATAGGGTCCAAACCCTAAATTTTAGGGTTTGCACCTTGGCTTTATACGCCCTATGTACCAGCGTACATGCTACGTTCTAAGGTGATCCAGAGTATGCTTAGCGTACGAGGGTGTACGCCCCACGTACTCCAACAACTCCGTAATTACGAAATTACAATTAGGGACTAAATTGCAATTGGAGCATAACTCACGGATTAAAACGAATACCGCAAAAAAAATAGATATTATATTAGAAGCCTCTATTTGATAATTAGGAAAGTAGATAATTACTTAATTTGAAATATTATTATTATATGTTCAAATTTAGGGTTTCTAGGGTTTTCTAGCAGCTATGAACAGAGCCTTAAACCCTTATATTTTTGGTTGACCTATTCCAAAGGAGCAAATCCAAAAATCTCACCTCTCTCCCCTTTCTTCTCTCAATCTTAAGGTTTCTTGTGTTGTGGGTGTGAAACATTAGAGGTTCACATACTATTAGAAATGTGTTTTTCAAGGAGACAAGAATATCTTGATTAACTTGATTGGAATCAACAAAAGGTATGTATCCTAAACCACGAGTTTCGATTCATAGGGTTCTAGATTGTGTTCTTCATAAGTATGTTGTTATTAGATGTGAAAAAGACATTCATTTTAGGTTGCATGTAACCATAAGTGTTAAGAGAATTTTTGCATGTACAATTCTGTTGTAACCTAAAATCCCCAATAATGTCTCCCCATCTTGAAAATATTATTCCACACGGTGAGTTGTTAGAGAAATTGCAAATTGTCTAGTTTAGTTTGCCATCGCTAATATCCATATCATTAATTTATTTTTTTGACTTCTTTAATCCATTTCTCAGTCTTTCTAATTTCCTTTATGATATTATTATTGTATGCAATAATGTCCTTGCCCTCTTTGACATTCCTACTGTTGATTGCTTCAAATTTATCGATACCATTTTTTATCCAACCCCATGTCGTTATTGGGAATTATTTACCAAGAGGGACGTGAGCATATATGATTGCCTCTAATGTTATAAAACTAAGGTTAATGGTATAAAACTAAGCTATTGTCTGTTATCCTCTGAATAAACCATTTAAAATGCAACATTCAACCTATTTTTTTAGGACCTTTGAACACTTTTTGAAGGAATTAAAAGCCTTTGAACGGTACATAATCATTATCACTCAGTAGAGGTGTTCAAAAATATCCGAATCCGAACTAAATTATCCAAAATTTCGGATATACGAATTTTCAAAAATCCAAGAATGTCCAATTTTTTGTATTCAAATTTGAATACTAATTTTGTAAAGTTTCAGATATTTCGGATATCAGAATATGATTTTGGTTCATACATTATCTGTTATTTTAATCACATGTCTTCTGATACTGATGTTAGGCACTAAAACATATTCATAATACCCTTGATTAAATCCTTATATTACTACGTGTGCCTATGTATTTTAGAACGGTGGTCACGAGAATGAAGAATAAAAGCATTGGCAACACTTATGTCCTCAATTTCAAGTAAGATTATAAAATTATTATTATTATCATATTTATACTACATGTAACTATATAACTAAGACTATAAGTTAAAACATAATAAACTAATTTACGGTTAAAACTAGGGATGAGATTTAGAACCGGAAAACCGGACCGGAACCGGAATCGGAACCGTTAGAACCGGAATATATAGAACCGGTTTTGGTTTCGGGTTCAAAAATTGGCTTTATCCGGGTTCCGGGTAATGCGGGTTTGGGTCCATCGGGTCCGGGTAAACCGGGTCTATAAACCGGAACCGGTTTTTGGAACCGAAACCACTTTTAGGGTCGGAACCGGTTTTTTGTAAAACGTTTAAAAGATGCATATCTCATTCGTTTCAACTCCGATTGACATACGGTTTTTTCCAATATGTAGTTTAGAGTTTGTACATGATTTTAAACTATAAATTTGCCATTTTAGTTTTATATTCATTGACTTACAGTCCCTCAAAGTCGATAAATCAAAGCTGGAAGTTTTTAATTTTTCAATTTTTTTGTATTCGGTGAAAGTTTTAAAACATGCATATCTAATTAGTTTGAAGTCAGATTGACATGTGGTTTTTTCTAATTTGTAGTTTACAGTTTATACATGATTTTAGACTATAATTTTGTCGTTTTTGACTTAACATTCAATGATTTCCAGTCCTCCGAAGTCGGAATATCAAAACTGAAAATTTTCAACTTTTCAGCTATTTGTTTTTGTACTTTGTATTATGTGAAAATGTTAACACATGCATATCACATTCGTTTAATGTCGGATTGACATAAGGTTTTTTCTAAAGTGTATTTTAGAGTTTGTACATGATTTTTTACTATAATTTTGTTTATTTTGGTTTCATATTTCAGTAAGTTACAATCCCCCAAAATCAGGATATCAATATGAAAATTTTCAAAGCTCAACCCACTAAGTAGTAAGTAATTACCAAAAAAATTCTGGTTTTTTCGGGTTTTCCGGTTGTAAACCCACTTTATCCGGTTTCAACCTACCCACTTTGATGTTTCCGGGTTTTCCGGTTCTAGACCTACTTTATCCGAAACCAAACCAAAACCAATTCTTATATACCGGTCTAGTTTCCAGTTCTACAAAATTCCGTTAACCGGGTCGAGATCCATCCAGTCCAACTCACTTTCATCCATAGTCAAAACTCATAGATCATACCGTAAGAAAGAAAGATAAAAAAAAGTTGGGTAACACATAATAAAATATTTAGAACATTATTGCGGCTGACAACCAATACACATGATGGTTAACATTAGGTTTTATAATTGAATTTAAATCTGGTTGTGAACAAAATTTTAGGTTTTTTGATACTAAAAATCAACTATCCTAAATCCAAACATCCGAATTTTGAACACCCTTTATGAATCTTGTTGGATGAACTACCAAGCATATGATGAAACAAAAATCTTTGTAACAAAAGTCGTAATGTAAGGAATAATCGTATGATATGAAAAATGAAAATTGATAGCTTCTTTTATAGACAAAAATGCAAAGATATAGTTTTTCTCAATCATTTTATGAAACCTAAGCCATAATAACATTTGCATAAAGGATTGTACCACAACTTCACACCCAAAGAAAACAAACCAAACATAAAATTTCATACTTAATATCCATCCATTCAGTTATAAAACACACCATTTATCAAACAAACATATATCCTCAAATCCAAATCCAATATAACATTTCTTCTTTTTTCCTTCCAAACCAAACCAAACCAAACCAAAGGAGTTAACTACTTGATATACTGAGAAACCCACTTAAAGCCATCACCATACCCCATCTTTCTCACAATACTACACATGAACACCTCAAGAGGGCGAACACCCGAGTTTTCAAGATTTACTTTCCCTTTGCCTGTGGTGAGGCCCGTTAGGCCCAAGAAGTATCGCAACTCGTCTTCTGATGAAGCATAAGGGATGTCAATCTTGTTGCCTAGGACTAAAAAAGGTACATTTGCTAATGATTCATCTGACAAAAGTGCATCTAGTTCTTTTTTTGACTCTGCAAATCTTTCCTTATCATATGCATCCACTAGGTATACCACTGCATCCACCTATACATATATAAACAATTTAAATAGTATATCAATACACATAACTCATTCCATTCTAATCAAATTTGTAGAATGTTTGTGGAAGGAATGGATATTGGAATATGGAATGTACACAAACTGCTTAGTGTGCATATAGAAAAGATACACCCATACTTTGTAAAGCTCTAAAAATGACCCTGTACATAGTAGCTAAATATTTGAGTTGGGTAGAGTAGAAAACTTGAAATGGATTTAATCATATGAAAGGTTTTCTTCAAGATTCATGTTCATCTTCATTTCCATTGACATAAATCTATAATGTTGAACATGAAGCAAGATAGATACTTATATAGTGTATAATATTTCTAAAACAACCAGCAGTTGTAACAGAAATTCCATGGTGTTCTGTGATAGCAGTCTACTTAACCTCCAAAAGTCACAAAAGTGTGCCTCTTATTTGGAAAGTAGAAAGTACAACTTTCAAAACAAAAAAAGGAGGATCACATGTAAAGTTATCGACTCAACACTCATTTGTATCATAGAATTCTAAAAAAGATCCAACTCAATAATCAACTCCAAAAGGTAAACATTTGACTTTTGAGCATCAAAAACATAGCTTTTAGCTTCAAAATTCACAGGGATGTTATTAGTGTGAGATAAACTTAGTACATACTTACCTATAACTACGGTAAATTTACAGATAAACGGATTTTTGGTGTAATATATCTGGATTTCAGAAATCAAAAGTGGATTGCTCCTTTAGGAGGGAAGGAATATGTGATACCTTGGCGTAGTAATCTTTCCAGACTCTACGAGCGATCTGATGTCCTCCCAAATCGAAGGCTTTGAACTTAATTTTCCCAATACTCAGTTCTTCAGATGTCGGATACTGAGTTGGCTGATGCTGAACGAGTCTCTGCGAAGATCAAACCATCATCAAAACAAACACATATAACATCCGTACACCGTCGGTGTGAAAAACCTCTACACCAATTTCAGCTACATGGAAATTATGCAAAAACAGAAAGCAAACAACAATCGAATACCATAATTGTGTAATAATAACATACTGATTCGAACTAAAGAAAACTGAATTGCAGAACGAACCTCGTCTTTCAACATATGAAGCAAAGTGGTTTTGCCGGCATTATCGAGCCCTAAAAACAAGATCTTAGCCTCCTTTTGCCACAGACCTAGCGATGCCAGAACTCCATAGAACCAATCCACCAAAAACATGATTACTACTCCCTAAAAACCTCAAAATTAAACCTCTGATTTCTCCACAAAACACGAAAAACTCCAAATCTATTAAACCAAATCGATCGATTACACGAACATATAGCGGTTCGTAAATCTCTCGATCGATGATTCAGTTTAACGCTTTTCGGAATCACCCGAGCTGTGTCTCCCCAAATAGAAAACCTAGTGAGAAAGAAGATTATAGAAGTGGGATTTTATGGCACAACACAAGTTGGAAAACTCTCTTTGGGGAGAAGGGGTGTGGATAAATGTGAGCCGTTGGATCTGCTTGAAGGTCTTGTCGTTAGCTTTTAAGACAAATATTTTCAAAATTGCCCCCTCGTAATACTCATTATTTAAGTTTGTGGTCGATATTGTTTCAAATTTTAACAATATTGGTCCCTATAGTAGTAAAACATTTTTTTTGTATATTTTCTTTTAGTAACTCGAGTTTTTTATTTGACGTAAAAGTAGTTTTGGGATAGCTTGGGATGAGAAAAATAATGTTTTGATAATTTCTAAGATATTAATACACTATTTCACAAAACAAACAAAAAAATTTGTATAGTGAAGAGTGCTAATTAATGAAGATTATATAGCAACGTATAAGTTTAGCAAAAAGAGAGTGTTCAACAACTAATTTTTGCTAAAAGTAAGGGACATTCTTCTTGCATCTTTTTGGTGTTCTTTATGTTGGTAATGTTAGGTTTAAACTTCAAGATGGTGAATCTTTTGTCATTAGATTGAATTATGACTTTAAATAAAGAATTTGCATTTTTAACCCCCAATTATATATATATATATATATATATATATATATATATATATATATATATATATATATATATATATATATATATATATATATATATATAACAACTAGCAAAGGCAACAAACAAAGAAAATAAATTTAAAAAAAAAAAAGTGATTGAATTACATCTAATGCTAAACAACAAAAACTAAATACATCTTGTCAGAATCAACAGTAGACGGCTTTTGGTAAATCCTGTACTCCAAATGAAAATAAAAGGGTAATAAGGAAGAGAAGATCACTACAATAACAACTCGGAATAAATTTGATGAAGAGAACAACAACCATTGGTTCTTAAGAATGCTTCAATTACATTAGCATGAGTGAAATCAACATAATGCAAAGTACAATGCAACAACTCTGCTTGGTGTCGATACTTATCTATCTAAGTCCACAAGCTTCATCCCCGAACTCAATGCCATTGATTTTCTATATTTAGGTTGAATTTGTGAAGCTCCATCCCCAAATTCTACTTGGTGTCAATGTTTATCCATCTAAATCCACAACACACCATTGGTTTTTATTTGATACCTACGAATGATATTGAGCACATACATCGAATGAAATACACACCGACAAAAGTCCTCATAAGGATCGAACGGTCCATTTTCTTTGATATTTGGACAATGACTTCCTAATATCGAGGCCTTCATATCACCCAGTTGAATTTGTGAGATCGGCTACATAGGCTCAGGAATCATTTCTTATGTTTGTTGTTTGACAACTTTTTTGGTGATATTCCTCTTTGCCTTTTGTTTATTTGATTTCATACGTTTGAAGTTAAATTGTTCCAAGTGTGTGATGATTATTGTATGCCTCTAGTACATCTAGAAAAGACTTTGTATTGTTCAAATATTTGCTATAGTGGATTTGAAGCGATTCTAATAGTCCCGTGGTTTTAATTTCATTTCTTGAGAGATTTTCATGGTGTCTCGTATTTGTTGATTAATTACTGTTTTTTGGTTGATTATATTGGTCATATAAATTGCATCAGGTTGTTTTTTTGCAATTGAAAATGTATATTTGTTTGCATCCTTAAATGTTCATTCATGATGGAAAAAAGTTTAGTCAAATGAAGTTTTATTCCGCATTATTATTTACGGTTGTGGTTATGTTTTTCCCATCAAGTGTTATGTAGATGAACCATTTTATTTTAGTGGATTAAGCTCAACATGTTTTTGTTTGGATAATTTGGCACATGGAAGATGGTAAAATCACAACTTTCATGAAATAATTTAGTACGATGAAAACGAACTATCAATATATGTTCCAACACATGTAAAACCCATTTTCTCCAACAAACTATTTATGCCATTAAAGATAGGGAAATTGTCATAAAAGCCCTTAAGTTTTCCAAAAATTGGATGAGTTTTAGGGGTAATAAAGTCGGATACTTTTGCTAAATGTTTCAAATATCTCTTTTAAGAGGTTGCACCCTTGGTGGTCGGTTACCCATATGCTGATTTGGCACTTAACTGAGGAGTTGGCACGAATGTTACGTCCATTTACCTAGAGTAGTGTACCCATCACCTTACCTCAACCTTTTGCACGTAAACGTACACTTTCTCAAAATCCTTCAGAAAATCGACATCGTTCACCAAAAATTTAGGACTTTTTGAAGAAGATTAGGTTATTGGAGATTTGATTTCACAAGGTATGTGTAATTTTTTTGAAGATTGTGTAATTACAGTTCTTTGTTCTTCATAGGTTAACGAATAACAATAATGTGTGTTTTTTCAGGTTATTTTGATGGATTGGGATTCAGAAGACGAAGGCAACAAAGACCCATTTTTTGGTTTACGTGTGCCTTTCTCTGGTCTTAAAGAGATGGATTTTGAGCTTCATGGCATCTACATGGATCATGAACCAGAAGAAGAGTTCATGACTCCATTGGACAAGTGTAAGGATGCATTTCTTAATGTGTTACTAATTGATGAAAATATTAGAAACTCTAGTTTGGGATGTAAGAGCACAAGTATATCATGGTGATGACTTGCAAAGTGATGAAGATGAAGAAGAGCAAGAGCAGGTGAAAAACAAGTATGGAATACATGATATTTGATACTTCGGTGTAACGTGAGTTCTCCTCACTATACTAACATGGTCGAAGGCACCAAGGCCAACCCTTTGGATTGTATCCTGGTTTATCATATGATGCAACGTGTAGTGATTTGTTAGATATGTGTCCTAGTATATATGATAATGCTATGATTAATGGTCGGTTAGGCCTGTATGATTATTGTATGTGTTAGCTAGTGTTTGATGTTTATGTGATGTTGTGTGATGGCGGGTGGGTTGAAGTGGTCATGCTATGTATTGAAGGCTAATAGATCTAGGGTTGCCCAGATAGACTAAAGACCCAGCGGGGCGTACCAGTCAATCCGAAGGCCTGGAGAATGGTCCAGATAGGTTGAAGGCCTGATGAGGCGGTCCGGTCATGCTGAAGGTTCTGTGAGCGGTCCAAATAGGCTAAAGGCACAGTGAGGAAGTCCAGTCATGCAGAAGGCTCTGTATTCATATTGTTTGTTCATGATATTGTTCTGGTTTGTATGGTGTGGTATTTTGGGGGAACTCACTAAGCTTTGGGCTTACATATTTGGATTTATGTTTCAGGTACCTTTGATGATCGCAGAAAGGAAAAGACTTGATCGTGCACCTCCTCACATTTTGTGTTATAATTTCTGGGATTTCTCTGATGTTAAACTATTTTGAAAACAATTTGTAATAACTAGTAGTTTTTGGTATTTTAAAAAGTTTAAAATTTTTATGAATTTTATGGGTGTTACACCAAGAATAAAATTTGACTTCTAGAATAAGAATACTCTTAAAAATAGAAAACTTACAACACTGAAGATTGATGTAAGATTCATCACATCAGATTGTCATCTTGGATCAATTTCTCGAAAAACTTGTTAAACCTTCAAGAACTCGCTCGATACCACATATTGGATCTTGGAATAGATGACAAATGTAGAATAGTAATGATCAATATGAATCAACCATAACGAAGAACACATAGTGTAAAAAATTCTCTATTTTAGCTCAATTAGTCTAGAATGATGATTACAAAGTGGTCATGTAAAAATTCTCCCATGAGACTAAATCTCACATTAATATAAAATGGGAGTTATCTCTCTACCTATACATGAATAATAAGACTAGTATTTATAGGTAAGCTCAACACAATACATATCTAAAGAGGGTAAGCCAAATACACATTCAATGGAGAACTTTTCACCTCAACACTTCAGATGTAGAAAAGATAGCCTTCAGAACTTATTCGAGCCAATATGAGCTCAAGGTAATTCTGTTTGGATTAACGAACACCCCTTCTATATTCCAAGCAACAGTGAATGATCTGTTCCGCCCCTTTCTGCGATATTTTATACTCGTTTTCTTTGATGATATACTTATTTATAACCCCTCATTCAAGTTGCATTTAGCACATTTACGAACGACTTTTGAACTACTTCATAGCAATAGATTCTTTACCAAACTTAGCAAATGTTGTTTTAGACAACATCATGTCCGTTTTCTGGGCCACATTATTAATGATGAAGGGGTTCAAGTCGAGTAGGAAAAAGGTGAAACTGTTCAAGCCTGGCCTTTGCCAAAAAAAAAAAAAAAATACGTGATGTAAGAGGATTTTTGGGTTTAACAGGATATTACCACTGATTTGTGAAGAGTTATAGGTTACTAGCTAGACCCTTAACTGAATTGACCAAGAAAGATGGGTTTGTGTGGTCCGAAGCCACCCAAAATGTATTTGATCAATTAAAATCAACGCTTGTCTCAGCTCCTGTACTTTGATTGCTTTATTTTAATAAAGCATTTATGATCGAACGTGATGCATCTTCGGAAGGGATAGGAGAAATCTTAGGATGAACGCGCAATAGCATATTTCAACAAAGGTCTCTCGTTATCTAACCACCTAAAATTGGCATATGATTATGAGCTCTTAGCTTTGGTATTAGCCGTTTAGAAGTGGAATCACTACCTCTTCGGTATACATTTCTTTATACGTACCGATCATTATACACTTAAGTTCTTGTTGGAACAACGAATTACCACTACTGAACAACAACGATTGTTATTAAAACTTATGCCATATGACTCTATGATCATCCATAGAGTTGGGAAAGAACACAAAGGGGTTGATGCATTGTCCCGCATACCCCAATTGCTTACTCTTGTCATACCTCGATGTCTGAACTTTGCTAATTTTATCTCTAGTTTGTCTGTTGACCCAGACACGATTGATCTTATAAAATGACTCCGTGCAGACTCATCTTCATGTCCAAGATTTTTTTATGGTAGTGGGGTATTTAATCTACAGGGTCACAGACCCCTGACATACCCCCGATATCAATGCATCCATTTATTTGAAGCACACTCCACACTAGCAGCAGATCATGGGGGATTTTTTGAAAATAATGAAGCGAGTGGAAAGTCAATATTTTTGGTCTAAGATAAAGCAGAATGTTAGGTCTTATCTACAATAATGTTTGACACACTCTCGCCTGTCAGGTTGCTTCAACCGTACTAATTCCATAACAGGTTTGGGAAGATATTTTGTTGGTTTTTTTTATTGATCTTCCCCCGTCTAAACAGTTTGATATTGTATTCGTGGTTGTTGACAGATTGAGCAAGTATGCTCATTTTTCCCCCTTTCTCACCCTTTTACTGCCAAAGGGGTCGTTGATGTGTTTTGTAAAGAGATAGTTTGCTTACATGGTATTCCACGTTTGATTGTTTTGGATCATGGTGTTATTTTTTTAAGTCATTTTTGGCAGGAGTTGTTTTTGTTATGCCAAACAAAGCTCAAGATGAGTACCGTCTACCACCCCTTAACAGACGATCAGACGAGTGTGGTTAATTGCTCTCTGGAGACCTACTTATGTTGCCCGATTGAACCAACTAACTGGATCAACCCTTTTGTTTCTTCGGGAGTAATTTTGACCCGTTCAACGTGGAGCAGGGGAACAATGCTTCTTGTGGATGAGTTGGTGGTTACGAGAATCAAGAAACTATCGAGAATGTTTCTTTCATCTCTACTGTTTTCGTTTATAGTTATTTTTTTGTCTTGGATTATTTTGACTTTTGAACTCTGTATTGGAGATTTGCCATCTCGAATTGGCTATCACCTTTTCCGATTTCTTTATTGTAACCCTAGTTCTATAAGTTTTGGGATCATTTTATCCAACGAAATTAGTTGTTGACCCGAAACATAGAATGGAGATAGTTTTCAAGGAAAATGAACACCCCCCTTAATCGAGATTCCAAGACACGTCCAAGCTTGTGCCAAATACATCAATCACACATATTAGTTGTATGTAAAAAATACGAAAAAACGGGTTAAGTGAATCAATTATTAGCCAATTTATAGAGCACACATCTCATTATTATCCACATCATCTTGGATGGTCTAAAGAGGGGTTAATCATTGTTACAAAACTTTATATCCTTTACGCGTGGATCAAAATTAATACATAAATCCTTGCCATATCTTTAATCCAGCCAAAAACTCTGTACACCGAATTAAATAAAATCAAAATAATATCTCTAAACACAAAAATGGTTCATTTTTCAAATTTTCAATTTTATAGATTTGTACTTCACCTCATTTTCATAAATCTTAAACGGAAACCGGTTCACGTGCCTCATTAGAAACATAGCCTGTAACCTACACAAGTATGTCGAAATTAATTTTAAAGTTCTTGCACATAATTCTAATAAGATTAAGGGGTTTAATTATTTAATTATTATATTAGATTTTGTATATTAATTTACCTTGGCTGATTTGAATAGTTCATCAATGACTTCAGATAAAGTTGGGTGCGCATGAACAGCATACTTTATATCCTACATGATTCACAATTCAAGAAAATTTATTTATATTTTTTAATAAAAGAAAACACCTGAAAATGTAGCAAAAGAATTAGAAAGAAATTTACTTGTATACGTGTTCCCAAAGCAATTGCATTGGATGCTTCGTGGATGAGGTCAGCAGCATGCATTCCGAATATGTGGACCCCAAGGATCTCTCCACTGTCAGGTCTATAAATCATCTGTACAAACATGAAAACATTCTAATTAACCACGTGAATTAGGAGGGCATTTTTGTCTTTTTGGGAAAAAAAAAAAAAAAAAACCTTGGCGATTCCTTCTCCTTCATTTTCTGCAAGGGCTTTAGTGTTGGCTTTGAAGCTAGTTTTTGCAATACTGATTTCAAATCCTTCCTTCTCAGCTTTTTCTCTTGCTTGGGGCTACAATGTAATTTTTAAATTAATTTATTAAAATTAAAGGTTATTTTATTTATTTCTTTTTAGGGAAAAATAAAAAAATACAGAAAATCAAAACAGACCTCTGTTAGTCCAACCATGCTGATTTCAGGATGTGTAAAACATGCAGCTGGGATGCTGAGGTGATTTAGAACATGATCTTTTCCAGAAACTTGTTCAACAACTGTATTAATAAAAAAACAATTATTGATATACAAGGGTATTAAAGGGAAATCACAATGTCATTGTTTTTATAGTAATGAGTAAGATACCTGAAATACCCTGGGCACTTGCTGCATGAGCAAGCATCATCTTTCCATTAGCATCACCAATGCAATACAAGTGAGGGACCTAAAAAGACCAATATTTTATCATTTTATGTTTTAAAAAAAAATCCAATTCAAATTTTGATGTCAATACCAGTTCTCCCTTTGAGTCAATCACTCTCATGCGTTCATCAACAGGAATAAACCCGCGTTGCGTTTGAACATTCACCTATAAAAAGACGTTAATGCCCTCCTCATCTTCATCATCAAAAGATAGCCCTAAACCCTAAGAGAGCTTTAGGGGCAGAAATTATCCCATTGAAAAAGGTGGGACATGATCAATTTTGTATGAAAAAGACGCAAACGCCCTTCTTATAAAAATCAAAAAAGACGATAATGCCCTCTGTATTTTCATAATCGAAAACATCCCAAAACCCTAAACCCTAAGAAATGGAGCTTTGTAGATGTATTGATAAGTTTACTTACATTCTCAAGACCAAGCCCTTCTGTGAATG